TATATATACATATGTATAAATGACAAAAAAAATTACTAAACGTCGATCAACGAACCAACAGTAGCTTTGTACGTTTCTTTCCCATTCTTTTTTAAAACCAAAGAAGCACGTATATTCACACGTGCACTTCTAATCCGACGATGGAAAACGATTTTTGTTGAAAATATTCGAAAGGAAAGCCTTTCAAAGAGTACTTTTTCTTTTTTTCTTTCGTTTTTTTTGTGTTTCTTTTTTTTTTTTTTTGAATCGTTTCGAACCTCGAAGAGAATTCCGTTTAAACGTTTTTCATCTTCATAGTAGGTATACTACACATATATGCCCTGCACAGAGAGACAGGTATACATATGTACACGAATACACAGACAAAAGTACCTATACACAATCACACACACATAAATATATACATATATCATATCACACTCAAAGAGGATGGAGAACGTATTTTGGTAAAAGAGAAGAAAACCAAATTTGCGTGTTGAAGTCATTGATGTTGATTCACTATTTCCCTTAGAAATAAAAAAAATAAAAAAACGGAAAAAATGAGAAAAAAAAACAGAAAGAAAGAAAATTGAACAAAGAGAAAGAAAAATGATGGACGAGTAAAAACTAAAGAACGAGGGTAAACTTAAACTGCCAAAAAAGATACACCAGAAGCATCTCGTGGCTATACGCACATACTTTGTATTTATCGTGTTTACAAATGTAGGTAATTAACTTCATATAGAAATTAACACGTACGATTTACTCGTGTTCTCGTTTATCAAAGAAATAGACAACTTGAGAAAGTAAGATGGCGTTAAAATATGAAAAAAAAGATGAAGGCAAATGAAAGGAAGATTAAATTTAGAGTCGAGATATTAATTCGTGCGGTGGCTTTCTTTTCCTTTTTTATCCTTTTTTCTTTTCTTTTTTTTTTGCAAAATAGGATATATTATGTAATATACATTATCAAGTATTCTCTCTTGAAGCATTGATGTATTTGCGTAGCAGCTATCCGTAGATTTCGTAGTGCTATTGTAAAAGAAAACGAAGATGACCATGATAATAATGATGACGAAGCATGCTCCCTCGATGTGTCGATAATTATATATATATATAAATACATATAAAAAAATTTTACGAAAGATTAATAGATGATTAGAAGAAAAAAAAATTATCTATCTATAGATTATTTCTGACCGTTCATCGTATTACAACAATACTCATCGAGGATCGGTTAGAATATTTTTTTTCTTTCCCCTGTATTATTAAAATGATATTCACTAATACGATAAGTGCCAACTTTACACCACTGTGTTTCGACCATGTCAGAAAAAACGTTTCATTATACAAGAGGCTATATTGTTAACAGTTATTATGGAATAATCGAACATCTTATTAACTTTGCTAGCTAACATTAACTGCCATTATGCATTATATTTCATTTAATGTTCTTCGAAAAATAATCAAATTCATGGCCTAGTTAATCAAAGATAAGTTAGTAAAACAAAAGTAATTCACACGATTATTAGATATATTAAATCAGTGTTATCATGTGATCATTCAATGGTCAATACATGATTTGCATTTACTTCATCACGAATTTCAAATAATTTTAACATTTAATTTCGTAATATTTGTACTGCATTTTTTTATAATAATAATAACTGTATATCGTATAGGAAAACATACCAAAGGTATGTATCATAATAGTTCTATGAAATTTTGAATAGGATATTTTTAAGATGAACGATTGTTCGAATATTTGAAATATTTCATAAACTAAAGTCAAGCCTCTAACTCGAAAATTAAACACTTGTTATGAATCATAGTGATCATATTTACGGCAATCACAGTGGATTTCTGGGACACATAATAATTATCAGTCGCACAAAGTGAAATTTTTCTCGGACCAAACGAAAACCCAAAGGGGTGACTCGTTCGTCACGGATTTACCTCGAAACACTTTTATAAAGCGGTATTACGCGACCGCTGTGATTTTTCATAAAGACATTTAACATTTGACTTTCTCTCTCTTTACATATAAATATACATATAAATATAAATATATATATATATATATATATATATAAACCTATATTTCTCTTTATCTCTTAATCTGTAGTTGGCAGATCGCTAAACAAAATAAGATTGCTAAGATTCTTCTAGAATATATTGTATCTTTGCATAATAAGAAATGTTAAGCAATTTTCCATGCTACGCCACCGTCACTCAATCTCCCATTACTAATGAAATAATGTGAATAACAATAATAATATACGAAGAAATAACATTATAAATATGTAATATGATTCGCGTTCGCAATAATGATCATAATTGTCTTATAACAAAATTGATCATTTCCTTAAAAGATGTGAAGCTTTAACATTAATAGCATTTTATCATATGCTTGATAATGAGGCATTGATTTTCGTTATGTGTCGATACTATGACCGTTTGTAAATCTGTCATGCTTCTACTAAAGTAAGAAAATCGTTAGAATTTTTTTTTTTAATGTAATCTAATTTATGTTAATAGAAATGAAATAGAACTTTCCTCGTTACGAAGAGTTCATCGTCAACATAATTTATCTCCTACTCTAAGTAAGGTGTCATTAAACATAACGTTTACATAAAATATCATCAACTTATAAGAGGAACTCAAATTCCTTCGTATCTCTCTCTTGCTCTTTCAACTTAATGACTAAATCTCGTAATTCAAGTTGAATGACACCCGTAGAGAAGTAATGAATAACATCTCGTTAGGAGATAAATTAATAGCAAGCCGGTCTGTTTGCAAAATGTATCACAAAAACTATGTGAATCTTCGCGAAAGTCGATTGAAATCCTGGCGAAACTATATATATTCCCTTTTAATTAACACCGTTCTAACGCTACCCTTTTCATTGCTATACAAAAAAAAATCTTATCCAGTATTTGATATTAATCTTGAAATGATAAACGAAAAACATATTTTTTACTCTTAAAATGATACATCTTCATTTATTTTATTAAAATTTCATTTAAGTACGTTCCTTTTTTAAATCTATTATTATTATTCGTAAAAAGAAATAATATTGATATTATTTTACAATTAGTTTCATCTTCGTAGTAATAATTTTAAATCTGTATATATACTAATCTTCTAATACGTCAAAGAAACATTATTTGAAAAATTTCAGTAAATATTCATGGAAGAGTTGGACATATATTTTTCCAATAAAAATATTGGTCATATGTTTAAACTAGAGAAGCTTGGCAGATTCTTTCGCGTCGACTCGCACATATCGATCTTGAAACTTGCGGGTACTGATTCCGATGGCAAAGCACAAGTGCAATATCTTGGTGAAGGCATTACTGGTACGACTCAATGCTCTTTCAAAGGGCTTTCTAACAAACACCTCGAGGCAATATTCAGTATTTAAAACGAACTTTAAATGTTACAATAAACGAAATGATGATGGTATACGTATCGCTTTTGATTGCTTGTATATCGCCTCGAGATGTTACATTTATCATTTTGGTATGAGATCGTTAATAGGGCGACTCGTTTCATTGTTAATAATATTAATTATAGACGTGGCAGCTTTAGAGTGTGATTCAACAATTCGTTTTCGAAAGATGAAATCGAGGAAAAGAAAAAGAAAAAAAAACAAAACGAATAAACATAAATCTTGAATATCATATGAATATTCGGTCTCGATGTTAATTGAGTACCTTCACGTGTGTGTCGAGATGTAGCACTTATATATA